ATATTATTATTATTATTTTTATTGTCTAGGAGAGAATTATGCTGGGACGCCACCTAATGCCTCCTGGGATTGCCACAACACATCCCGGGAGGCAGACACATCCTCAAGAGTGCAGACACACTGCAAGATCTCACACATACACAGATGTGCTACAGGTCTCTGCCAGGCCCTGAATACCTGGCAGGGACCTGCAGCAGATTTGAGCCTCTTTTATTCACTCATATTTGTCACATCAAAAATTGCAACGTTTCGTGGCCGCGCAGGGTCCCCTTCATCAGGCTTAGCATGACCAAATGTTAAGCCTGATGAAGGAGAGAAGCTGATTGGTTGTTGTGAACAGCTGCTCCAGATTTTGTCTGCTCAAGTTTTGATAAATTTCCCTCTCAATCTTTTGTTCCTCTTAGATACAGTCCCACGTTAGAATATAGAAAAAGGGACGGAGAGAATAGAAAGAATTCTATATTGTAAGTGCACTAATATTTCAAATGGTATCAATGTCAATATCATTGATTTAGCTTTTTTAGCCTTTATTTGTAAACTATTCTTTAGAGACTCGGGGTCTGAAAGCTTTCACAAAGTCATATATACAGTTCGGAAAATAATGATTTCATCCTCCGTAGATTTTGTAAGTTTACAAAGAAATGTTAGGTATAGGTGTATTTTAAATGATAGAGACAGAATATCAACCAAAAATCCAGAAACAACACAAATGATACAAATGTTATAAATTGAGTTGCAGTTCAGTGAGCAAAATACGTATTTGATCCCCAAGGAAAACATGACTTGGTACTTGATGGAGAAACCCTTGTTGGCAAACGAGGTAAGACGTTTCTTGTAGTTGGTTACCAGGTTTGCACACGTCAGGAGGGATTTTGGTCCACTCTTCTTTACAGATCTTCTATAAATCCTTAAGGTTTCTTGGCTGTCGCTTGGCAACTTGTAATTTCAACTCCCTCCATAAATGTTCTATAGGATTAAGGTCTGGAGACTCCATGACCTTAATGTGCTTCTTCTTGAGCCACTGCTTTGTTGCCTTGGCGGTATGTTTTGGGTCATTGCCATGCTGAAAGACCCATCCACGACCCATCTTCAGTGTTCTGGCTGAGGGAAGGAGGTTCTCATCCAAGATTTCACAATACATGGCCCCATCCATTGGCCCCTCAATGCAGCAAAGTCGGCCTGTACCTTTAGCAGAGAAACACCCCCAAAAAGCATAATGTTTCCACCTCCGTGCTTGACTGTAGGGATGGTGTTCTTAGGGTCATAGTCAGCATTGTTCTTCCTCCAAACACAGCGAGTCGGGTTCATGCCAAAGAGCTCAATTTTGGTTTCATCTGACCACAGCACTTTCTCCCAATCCTTCTCTGAATCATTTAGATGTTCATTAGCAAACTTCAGACGGGCCTGTAGATGTGCCTTCATGAGGAGGGGGACCTTGCAGGAAGCTGCAGTATCTCAATCCATGGCGGTGTATTGTGTTACAATGGTTTGTTTGGTGACTGTGGTCCCAACTGCCTTGAGATTATTAACAAGCTCCTCCCATTTAGTTCTGGGCTGATCCCTCACTTTCACATGATCATCCTTACCCCATGAGGGGAAATCTTGCATGGAGCTCCAGACCAAGGGTGATTGATGTTTTTTTGTATTCCTTTCATAATCGCTCCAACAGTTGTTTTCTTCTCACTGAGCTTCTTGCTGATAGTCTTGTAACCCATTCCAGCATTGTGCAGGTCTACAATCTTGTCACTAACGTCCTTTGACAGCTCTTTGGTCTTGCCCATGGTGGTGAAGTTTGAATGGAAGAAAGAGATTCTGTGGACAGTTGTCTTTTATATACATAACAAGTTGCCATTAGAAGCACCTTCTTACATTGACAGGACTAATCGGTGTACCACATAGACAGTCTGTGGGAGGAGCCAGAATTATTGTTGGCTGGTAGGGGATCAAACACTTATTTTACTCACTGAACTGCAGCTCAATTTATAACATTTGTATCATGTGTTTTTTTCTGGATTTTTGGTTGATATTCTGTTTGTTTCCTCACTGTAGCTATATACTGTATAAACAAAGTCTGAAAAAATATATCCTTTTCCCCAAATGTTATGTGCTCTAGCACGGTCTCCAAAGTGTAATCCGGAGGAAAGAGTTTTAATCATCTTCAGGGTGAAATTAAATAGATTTGAGTGGTGTTCTCTAAAATATAGCTTCCTTAAGAGCATCATAAATAAAGCACACTCCTCACTAATGGAAGTTTTGTGCAGATAATGGCATGCAAAGCAGAAATGTGTTTTTGCACTTTCTAATATTAAATGTTTGACCGTGTTACATGGAGGTTAGATTATACATGAAATACACCTAAATGATGACATTGATTTCTACAAGCTCCTCCTCTTAGAAACAATTCTAAGATTATTCTAGTAATATCTACAAGAATGTACTATTGGAGGAGCCAATGGGTCTGATTTATAGGCAAAACTACTTTTCCAGTAGTACAGAGCATTATACAAGAGAAAGTAGAGATGGGTTCATGTTCCTGAGCCTTCTTATCCCTCTCAGCATCCCAGAAACCTCTTCTCCCTACATTTGTCTTGGTGAGTTTAGCTACAAGTGTTCAGAAGTGGGAACCACAATAAGGAAATTTCCTCTTCAACCTTTCTGCATGGGGTACTGACCCACAAGTGCCTTTTGATAAATACAACATTGGCAATACGTAAAGTACTGCTTTGTAGCTTCTAGCTACCAGACCTAAATTGGAAGGTTGACTATACTGTGAGACGGCAATAGTTCCAGATATGAAAGTAATAATCTGTTCTATTTTTGGAAAAGTATAATCATGCCTAAATATACTCTATAGCTATAGTGTCCGGATATTGCGAAGTACAGGTGTAATCATAACACATTCACCTAATGGAGTACTTAGAAGAAAAGCCCCACCAAGACTGTTCAAAGTCTCTGTTCGTAATATTATAATATTCTTATGATCTAAGCGGTCATAGTAAGGACAGGAAAGTGTCAGAAATGATTCTCAGAACTACAATACTGAACAGTTAAGTTGTTATTATTGTCAGCTCTTATTACATGCTGGCTTGTCTAGGTGTAGCAGTCACAACTGTTCCAGAGTCATTTTCTCCCTATGGACGCTTGAGTCCCAGAGTTTTTCTTTTCTTTACTATATTATATAAAGACCATTACACCTTGATTTTTTTCTTAATAAACATGTATTGATTTTGGTAGCAGATTTGGGTAGATACATTTTTATTTAATAGGTTTAATTAAGAAAAAATAGTGAAAACATTCGAAAAAAATTAACTTTTTTTCCAGCTTACGAAATGTATGTAATCAATAAAGTCTTCTGAAGACATCTCATTAGTGGTGATACTCTCCCATTCACACCACAACCAGGAAAGGTCCTGTGGTCAATGACATCCACTGGGTGTTATATAGCTATCTGCTCCCTGTTCAGAACTGCAATTCTAGTGCCTAGCAGAGGGCACTGTTCCACCATAGGCTTCTTTTGGAACTCCGAGAGTGAATTTCAGTGACTGCAAAGGAAATCCATACTGGAAGAATGGATAGCTGTGAAATGTGTTGTTCTCATTTGTTAAGCTAAATGAGAAGGATTATTTATGATGGCACGGTATTTTATATTGTTGGGTCCGTATCATTTTTAAAAAGTAGCAGTCATGTTGATCAGATCATAAAGTATCTCCTTATTTAAAATTCATTAATTACATTACCATTTTTCTAGCATATATAAGTAAAAAGGTGTGTTGCAGTGAACCATGTTCTTTAACACAACACCTTTTCATTACCACCAATCACTGTGGCACACTTTATGTAGTGCACTTTTAGCCCACAGGAAACTGCCCTACCATGAAACGGCCACCTGGCCGTGTTTGCCTCCTAGGTCAAATGTTCCCAGTCCTTCCCTAGCTTAGGCTACCCAGTGACATAAGAAGAGTCAAATGTTAGGTAATAATGCAGTCTTACTGATTTTGCCAGAAGTCTGCACATAATCCTAATACATACTGTAGATTTGTTTCAGTGAGCCTTTACTTCCTGACCAATCAGGAATCCAGGCTGCCTAGCAATAAGTGAAGCCGGCTTGCTAGCCAATCAGGAAGCCAGGAGGCAGGTCATAACCTCATTATCAGCACCAATGCTGATACTAGTATCGGTACAGCCCTACTTTTCTTTATTCAAATTGTCTCTCAACACCTAAAAAGGCACTATGAGAGAAATTGTTATCGCTCCTGACAGGCACCCATGGTAAATTCCTACACATCTGGGAACCATGGACAACATATGCCAGTCCTTGATATTTTATGCATAGCATTCTTCCTAAGACACATGAACATTTATTATTAACCCACTAAAAGGATTGACTGTTAAATGTTGGTAACCTGTTCTATTTTACTTCACTAAATTTCATGATTTTATAATGATCTGTGTTTTACCCTCCTGCCGTCCGCCCGTTGAGAAAAAATGGACGGACGGAAGACTTGCATTTGCGGGTTACCGTCCCCAGACGGCATTTTTTTCCTGCTCGCGCGCACGGGCAGGAATAACCCGTCCGTTCTGCACAGCCATTACCGGCTGTTTCACATACAACCGTTCTCAGCATCTTCCTCCTTGGTGATCTCCCTCCGTACAGTGAATGCAGAAGTGATGTGTATTACATCACTTCCGCATTCACCTGTCAGTTATCTGGCTGCTATAGCCAGAGAAAAGAAGCTGATGAAGCAGATCTCTGCTTCATCAGCTTCTTTTGGGGTCCCCAGGTGACATTAGGGGTCCTATAAAGTGTACCCGTCAGTGTGCCTTTGCTATTATATAGGGGAATTGTATAACCCCCATTGTAATA